GTCTCTGGGTTTCAGTGTCAAATATGTGTTTGTTAAACAGCTTTGCTCTAAGGAGCTCAGGACTTCCTTAGAATAACCAAGTCTGTACCTGCCTCCAATTTGGTTTGTCTGTGCACTTTCAACTCCTCATTGTAGGGACAAAGCAGGTTTTTCAGAATCACGCCCCTGATTCTAGGAAGAGTGGTATTTAACCTTACAGGCAGAAAGATGCCTCCCACAGCCGTCAGTATTTCCAAAGAAGGTTCTTAGTGTTCTCCAAGTAACTTATTGTACCATGGAGTTTGTCCTGTCATCCAGCGTAAATCCCCATGGTGACCATCTTAGTCCTTTTCCCGGTACTGTCTTCCCGGGCGCTGGCCCCCATCATGTTCATAAAGCCTCAGTTTGCTATTCTTTGGCCAGAGGGCGAAATCTACAGTGAATGGAAACGACTGAAAGTCACGTCTGTTTCTCTCCAGTGAATTAGGAATCTGTGAATAACAATTTTGGTGGTTGTTGAGAATTCCAGAATCTCAACTAATTCCATATAAATGGAGGAGATTCCCTAGAGATCTAATTATAATATTTGCATGTAATTAGTTTGTGGAGGAGTCCCATCTTGTTAGGGTTTATCCCAACAGAAATGTCTTTATTTTCCCCACTCTCCACTTTCAACTGTGTCATGTGGAACTCTACTTTCCTGCTGGGAAGCAGCTTCCTTAGCAACATCTAATCTCCTGTCCGTTTTCATTATTAGTACAGTCTCATTTGGCTATTTAAGGCCTAGTCCTGTTCATTGAAAGAAAGATTAATCTCAAACTTGATTCAAAGTGTATCTTCCCTCCCCTTCAGTAGTTTGGAGGTGAGTGTGTGTGTGTGTGCGCGCACACGCATGGGGAGCTCTGGTTCTGTGTGCCTTTCCTTCCCTCTTCTAGAACCTAGTTCCTCTGGAGGTAGGGGCTGAGAGGAGGGAGGGAGGTGGCTAAGGGCTTTTTATAGGATTGTTAGAATGCCAGCGGTGGGCAGGCCTCAGGCCACACTTACCCTGGTTTAGATGGATTCTTTCTGAGGGGGTGGTCTCTGTAGAGTGTTATGTGTAGTTTTCTTGGGGCAGGACCATTCCCTCCATCTCCACCCCTACAGATATGCACCCTGCATCCCCTTGGCCTTGGCACCCCCACCTCCTTCTCTGGGTTGGGCACACTATGGCTTGGGCACCTCTCACAGACCTGCCCTTCCTTGCTTCTTCACCAGGGTAACGGGAACCACTGGAGCATTCTTCTGCATCCTGAGACCCAAGCAAAACTAGACAGGGTGAGGCTTCCCCATCTTTCTCTCAGGGACACCACATTGGGTCCTCTAGAAATCTATAGATCACTGGACATCAGGCTCCACGTTCATGGGAACCTCAAATTTCAGAGGGCACATATCAAGGGTCCCCTCTTCTCCCTCATAGTGTGCCGTACTCCTAGGCTTCCAGACACTCCCCCAGGGACTGTCTTTCTGCTACTCGACTCTGGTGGCCACACCAGGGAGGGCCTGTGGTACTGCTGCTCAGCACGGGTCCAACTGGGAAAAAGCAGCCAGGCCTCACTTCTCATGGGCATCCACAGTCCTTCCAGATGATTCTCATGGCACAGCCTCCCCTCCTCACTCAGGGAAGGGGAAAAAACCTGCCCTTCCCCTCAAACACTGGCCTCCTCACAATGCTGTGCATCTTGTTCCCTGTTAGACCAGTGGGTGAGGTGGAGGTGGAAGGCGTGTGGTAGAGAGGACTTTATTGGTGGTAGGGCCATTTCTGCTGCCTGGTAACATGCCCTGCAAGGAGAGGACTGGCTCCAGCTGTTGGGGTCTTTTTCTAGAATGTGGAGTACTTAAGAGACTTTAGTTTGGACCAGAACAGAGGTTTAGGATGCTGAACTACAACAACATTACATAGACATTATAACATGTCCTCCTAGAGAGATGCATAACACATGGGTGTATATCCTAGGATACCCTTCTGTCATCTTTCTGAGGTACAGTTCACAAAAGAACATTAATCTGTAATAAATACAAAGAAGTGCAGCACATTCTGCTTCTTCCCACGACTACTGTTTTTATTTTTCCGAATATCAAATTTCACAGTTTTAAAAAAATAGATGGGTGCCCCTGCATGCCTGGTGCCCCCAGCACGACCTCCAGTCTTCTCGAGATGGTTAAAGAACTGAGTAGCTCCGCGAGCACTCTGTGTGATCCACGCCTGCACGCTGGTCTCGTGGCTGCCTGTGACTGCATATGAGAGCTGCTATGTATAAACGCACACACCTGGAAGTCTTATTTTAGTTTGGTATATGGAAAGTTGATGTCTGGAATAAGTTTTATTTCATTGGTTATCCTAATCAGTTAAGACTACAGCCAGTCTTGAGCCAGACTAACTGGGTTTTAAGCCTGGCTCCATGATTTTAGGCAAAGAGCTTCATCTTTCTGAGCCTCAGTTCCTCATCTGTAAAATGGGGATAATAACAGTGTCTGTCTCATGGAGTTGTTGTGAGAATCAAATAGGTTATTGCGTGTAAGAACACTTCACCTTAAAAAAGCGTGTGGCGCAGAGTAAGCTCTCAAAGATGAACTGTTATCCTATACCTGTATTAATTGCAGAGAAAAATGGGAAATTTCTTATTTTCTTTGTATTTTGGATATTTTTAATAGAAATTAAATGGATAAAACTAGGCTTTACTTTGTGATGAACTTGATTTTTGAACATTTAACTTCAAGAGTTCCCTGGGGCCAGGGGCTGGAGGGGCGAGAAGCTCCTGATGCAACCGTAGTCAGACCCACTGAGCTCAGGGTGGCGCGCGCACCAGACCGTGGCCGAATGAGCCGGCTGGCTAGTTACCCAGGAAGCAGCAGCAGAAACATATAGAATCTACACGACCATACGTATTCCTCAGATGGCGATGCTGGAAATTCACTCAGTGACAGATGTGTATTACTCTTTCTTCCTACCCTAGCTTACACTTTTTTTCCTTCTTCTGCTTCCTATTGGCCATATTCAGCTCCCCTTTGAAATGCTGCAGGTTAGTATCAAAGGGAAAAGTCTGGCCTCAAAATTCGTTCACTGCCCTCTCAGTATTTCATTGACAGTTTCAGCTTCGTTGCTGTCCTCCCTCCTGATGGTGCACAGCCCTGATTAGCTTTGTTCACTTACCTGACACACATTGATTTCTTTGAGTTTTCTGGAACTGGGATGACAGCATTTGTATATTTATTCCCTTACATCCTTTCTATTTTTATCTTCCCATTTCAAACTTTCATTCTAGATTCATCACAGATGCTTAGCAGGTCTTGAAATTCTTAGTAAATGTTTGCCAGGTTGTAATTTTTTATTTGTTATCCACAGCCAAATTTAAGCCACGCTAATCCCATTCTAACTGGGTTTGGATGAGCCTAGCCTCGGCGCTCAGAGAGAGCGAGGGCTCATTTCTGCTCCTGCTTGTATGTGTGTTGTTCCCACATCCCTCAAGTGCTGCAGCTCATGTTTTGTTAAATAGAAATAATTTGGGGCAGTGGGACCACATTTGGACCTGAACTTCAGACAGGAAGCTTTTTGATAGGAACACCCACAGGCTGGGGGCGCTGGGTCTGTTTGCTGCCCTACCCCGCGTTGTCCTCCTTCCGTTTCTCGCTGCCCTGGGGGTGCTCCCGCATGACCCGCTTGTTGAAGGTGCTCCGCAGCCGCAGCAGCCCGGGGCGGCGCTCGCTGCCTGTGGAGATGGCTGGAGCAGAACTCCTAGTTTTCTGTGTATATATTTGGAACATAATACGTTGCGTGTGTATATTTGTTGACTGAATCTCTGATGAGTGGCCAGGGTGAGTGGGGGGCAGTGCTGCAGGTGGATGCCGAGTGTGTCCTGAGAGGTTTTCTCAAACCCTAATTTCACGTTCAAAATAGGTATTTTAATCAGAGGCTAAATTCAGATTTTGGTCCGTCAAGCAGTAGTTTGCACAGCACAGGTCCATCTTCCTCTTCGTCTCCTTGCTCCGGGTTGCACCAGGAGCTACGTTCCTTGCCCATGGCTGCTGGCTGCTGTTAGAGCAGCATTTCTTCCTCCCCTTTCTGTCTGGGAACCTGCAGATCATACCTGGCCAACAAGGCTCAGCTTAAGTTTCAGCTTCTCCAGGAAGCTTTCCCTGACCACCCAGTCCAGCAGCACCTGTCAATGTGCTCGTCAGGTGCCAGCACACTACTGCCCGTGGGCCAAATCCGGCCCACTGCCTGTTTTCATAGAGGAAGTTTTGTGAGAGCACAGAGAGGTTCCCTTGTTTACACATTGTCCGTGGCTGCCTTCAAGATACAATGGCAGAACTGAACAGTTGCGACAGACCATGTGGCGCACAAGCCTGAAATATTTACTTTCTGGCCCTTTACAGAAAAAAGGGCTGACTCCTCTCCTAGCCTGAGAGACCTTGATGTGTGTGCGTCTTGGCATGGTGTGTAACAAGTGCTTGTACTTTGCAGTCTGCGAAACTCTCACTTTTAAAATTAGCATAGTCTTTTGTATTTCCCAGATATTATTCTCACTAAACAAATAATCTCAAAATTACACTTAGAGATTGGGGTGAGTTCCCAACAAGGGACAAAGAGAACCCAGAGGCAGTTTTATTTTTAAGAGATTATATCCGTTTATTACTGTTGTTAGGTGATTGCAGAAAAGGTCCAAGCATAGCTTTGTACCCAAACCAGTTCTTTCCAACCCAGAACTCTTACTTGTTACTGATCTCAGTGAAAGAACATAAATCTTGTCAAATTTCCATGAGGATGTGTGAAGGTATAACTTGATCAAATCATTTATATGGAAGTCCAAATACACACACACACACAGTTAGAAGGTTAGAATTTACTTTAACAATGATACTTAATGGGGTCCTTTTAGACACTCAGATGTCCCACTTTATAAGAATCTGACTTGCGACAGGTGTGGACACTTAACCCAGTGACCCAGAGGTAGATTCATTCTCTTGTCTTCTCTCTCTCCTAGTGGTCAGCCCATTCCCCGGGTGGAGTACACAGAGGAAGAAACGAAAACGTGGGGTGTTGTGTTCCGGGAGCTCTCCAGACTCTATCCCACCCACGCTTGCCAGGAGTATCTGAAAAACTTCCCTCTGCTGACCAAATACTGTGGCTACAGGGAGGACAACGTGCCTCAGCTGGAAGACGTCTCCATGTTTCTGAAAGGTGAGGCCTCACGCAGCCTGCCTTTCCCCCATCAACATCCTCGTTTGCCTTCCAAGGACACACAATGCAGCAACACCCTTTTTTCCAGAAAAAGGGGGATGATGACGCTATAGTAGTGAACAAGACAAAGCACAGGGTCACCTCGAGTTCATGTTCTTGTGTGGTCACTCTCCTCACTGGCCCTCCTGGGACAGCAGTTGGGAAAACTTAGGGCTCCTGTGGGAGTGGGAGAAGGCCAAGTCTCCTGGTGGCCCCACTTCCTCCTCTGCTCCTCACTGTGGTCGAGTCCCAGTTTCTCTGCTCGGTGCTCTCTCTTCCTCTGTTTCGAGCTCGACAGTTCTAAAAGCGGAAGCCGGCTGTCTGCCACCCTTCCTGGAACTGGCGTTCTCCCGGCTGTCTGTCTCTGCCGGTGCTGCTGTGTTCCCCAGCCTCTAAGGACTCCTCCTCTGAATCCCTGCCCCATCCCCCGTACTTAGTTAGTCTTTGTGTGAGTTTCCTATGGCTGCTGTAACACATTACCACAAATGTAGCGACTTAAAACGACACAAGTGTGTTATCTTACGCTGGTGATCAGGAGTCTAAAATCAAGGTCTTGGCAGGGCTGTGTTCCTTCTGGAGGCTTGTTTCTCGCCTTTTGCAGCTTCCAGAGTCTACCTGCATTGCTTGACTCATGGCCCCTTCCATACATCACTCCAGCCTCTTGTCACATCTCCTTCTCTGACTCGAACCCTCCTGCCTCCCTCTTTTAAGGGCCCTTGTGGTTATATCAGCCCCAAAAGAATAATCCAAGATCACCTCCCTTTCTCAAGACCCTTAATTAATCACATCTGCCAAGTCCATGTTGCCACATAAGGGACACATTTAAGGTTCAGGTGGACATCTCGTGAGGGCCACTATTCAGCTTACCACAGTCTGCAAGTGTTGCTGCTTCTAACTTTGTGACCCTCATGAACCTGTCCTTTTCTTCCCATCCCGCTGCCACCACTCACACTGAGGTCCCACCGTTTAACAACCTTGACGTCTGTGTCTCCTCCCGTCTACTGTCCTGCCCACTGTTCCCACACGAAGCTTCCTAAAGCACCACAGCCTTCCTGGATCTCTGCTCAGAAGCTATCAGTGGCTCCCCTTTGTTTTTACTGAGGTTGACAGACTTTTTTTCCTGTAAAAGGCCAGATAGTAAATATTTTAGGCTTTCTGGCCAAGTGGCAAAATTGAGGCAATTATGTAGGTACTTATGTAGACATTTAGATGTGACCATTAAAAAACGTAAAAACTATTCTTAGCTCATGGTGGTGTACAAAAACAGGTGGCAATCTGAGTTTGAACCACAGGCTGTGGTTTGCTGCCGTCTGGTTCATCCGCTCAAGCTCTGGACTTCAGCGTCAGTTCAAAGCCCTCCCCGGCCTGCCGAGCCTCCTGCCCGGCCGAGCTGCACAGACCCTCTTGCTCTGTGGCTCCCACACGAGGCTCTGCCCCGTGCTTGAAAGTCCTCCCTTCTCCCCCCACCCAAATTCTGTCTCCTCTTCGAGACTCAGAGCAAGTCCTGCCTCCTCTGAATCCTGTGTGTAGCAGCAGCCGTCATGACCTCTCCATGCTCTGCTTTCATTCTGGATCATGTGCGTCTCAGGAGAGCTGGCATGGTGTGATAGCTTGTATCCCAAGAACCACACCTAGCACACTGGGAGAGCCTCCCATGTGGACATTTGTTATTGAGGGAAAGAGATGGAGAACCACGAATCAGTATCATTTAGCGCCTAACTGCAAAAGGCCTCATGTCGATGCTGAACTAGATAAGTTGTCCCTGATGGCCCCGTGTCTGGCACATCCTCTGTGCCTCCCGTGGAGCTGTGTGCATACTATATATTTACCAGGGGCTTGATTGCTCATATATTGGGATTGCTTTTTGCCTTATTGTTTCTCACACCCCAGTAATTAGAATACTGACTCTGTATTTTTGTCATATCTGTCTTTCAACTTAATATTTTTACGAAAGGTTGTATGTACGGTATAGCATGATTCTGGATCCAGAATGCCTGGGACTGAGTTCCCACTCTACCAGTTCCTAGCTGTGTGACCTTAGAGGATGTACCTTAACTTCTCTGTTCCTCAGTTTCTTCCCTGCAAATGGAGATAATAATTTTATCTGCCTCACAAATATCTGCCCTTATTATTGCTTGACACACATTAAGCATAGCTGAGTCTTAGTTATCATTACTATTATTATTGTTGTTGTTTTTCACAACCCTTGGTGAACCAGATACGGGGAAGCTCATTTTGCATCATTCATTGGCACAGAACAAGCACAATGTAAATGTTTGTGTTTTTATTTCTTTTAACTGACTTACTTTTAAAATGCCTAATTTATTTAAAAAGGAAACTTTTTAGGCAATGATATCCACAAATTCAAAGTTCTTTACATGATAGTTACGTATTTTATTTATTATTATTTTTTTGTGAGGAAGATTGTCCCTGAGCTAACATCTGTGCCAGTCTTCCTCTGTTTTGTATGTGGGTCCCTCCACAGCCTGGCTGGTGTGTGGAGCAGGTCCGCACCCAGGATCTGAACTCGTGAAGTCAGGCTGCTGAAGTGGAGTGTGCAGAACTTTAACCACTCGGCCACAGGGCTGGGCCCAATAGTTATATATATTTTAAAAAATTCATATAAAAATAAAATACAAAACTATTAAAATAAAGAATGTTCCTCTGTGTACCACCCTTCATGTCCCACATGTGGGAAATACTGGCTTAATTGACATAAAATAAAACAGAAGAAAATACACCTATCTTTCTGATATTCAGTGGGGAAAAATCCAAAGTGAAAGCTTTTGGTGGAATGAACATAACACTGCTGAGATGCTGGGTCTGAGGAGGCCTGAGAACGGGGTTATTTCCATGTAGATACCAGAAATCCCAGGACAGGCTTGTTTTATAAGTGGAATCAGTTCTTGCCTTTCAAACCCATTCTAGCAGTCTTGAGGGACTCTCCTAGTCAGCTGAGGCTTTCCGCATGGGCGCTGTTACAGGGCAGGTGTCAGAGATAAGAGGAGCCATCCCCTTGTGAATTTTCTGGGCCTTCAAGAGAAGGAAGCATTAGGTAGTCCTTAAGCTGAGAGTACGGATGCCCACAGCCTGCCTGAGTTAGCAGTGTAGGGAGAGTTCACAGATTTTACTGTAGTCTGCTTACTGTGTCTCCTCCTTCCATAGACAAATAGGGCATGTACAGTTTTAGTGTACTTGTTCAAATTGCAGTAATTAATATGAAGGTTTTCATAATATCACAGAAAACAGCACTACAGAATGAAGGAGTTAGGTGTATTGACAATAGAAAACTGTAGTGTGAACTGATTCCAGGATGCTAGTGAATTAGCTGTGTGTTAACTGAACGCATATGGCAGAATGGATCCCTACCTAGGTGTGTCACTTACAAAGACACCAGGTATTATGTTGCAAGCATCACTTTAGATTGTAATCTTCTCCTGTGTATTTGAGCTTTTTGATTCTCATTTGGCTTCTGAATTTAAATTCTTAAATTTTCTTTTCACCTTTCTGTCCATTTTAGTGTATGTCATGTTCCCCTGGAAACCCTACGAGTGTATTTTAGTAATCAGAAGTTTTTAAACATGCTAGCTGTGAACAGTATATGTCATTCAACCATCAAGAGTGTTAGGACCTTGATCACTTTGTTTCTAGAACATCCTTATAAATAACAGGACGCCCTGCTTGGGCCCTCAAGTCTCACAGGGTTAATATTTAGCTGGCTCTTTCTGTTGCCCCTGTAGAAAGGTCTGGCTTTGCAGTGAGGCCTGTGGCTGGGTACCTGAGCCCACGAGACTTCCTGGCAGGACTGGCCTACAGAGTGTTCCACTGCACTCAGTACGTGCGGCACAGCTCGGACCCCCTCTACACCCCGGAACCGTGAGTACCCCTACTGGAAGCCCAGGCGGGACGAGCACCCACACTGTCAAGTGGTCAGTGCTCACTTTGTGTGAAAGTGGCTCTGGCCCTCTTTTACCTCCATGGCAATTTTGTCTTTCTGGCCAGTGAGAGCCCCAGCACTCACCTAAGGAAGCCAGGGCCCAATGAAAGATCAGATCCCCAGCTGGGAATGTGGGGTCTCTAATATCCTTGCTCCAGCTGGTCTCTAACTTTATCCCAACACTGAACCCTCTGCTTTGGCCAGACTGTTGATAATATTACTCCCTAACTAATGTGTAACTTTTATAAAGCCATGATCCATATGGACCATTAGGACAATGTTGCATTTAAAGAAGCTGGGCTCACACCAAAATTCTAATAAAAAGGGTAACCCTACAAGCCGGGCACGCAGCTGCTCATTCAGTCCCCACAGCAGCCCTGTGGCGCAGGCATGGTTGCCATGTCTGTGTTTACTGATGAGGACACGCAGGTGCAGGGTTAAAGTGCACGTTGGCGCACAGGTGGGGCACATGGGCCCCTGCACAGGCAGCTTCTCTCGTGTTGAGGAGTTTCACGTGCACACAGCGCGGTGACTCTGTGATTGCTCCCTTCTTCTTTAGTCTCTTTCATCACCTCAGACTCAGACTCTGTGCTGTGCTCTCCCTACTGTCTTGTTTCTTGAACACTCCTCCAGTCCTGCCCACTACCTCTAGATTATGTGGGGTTTGTGATTCTTCTTGGCTCTGTCAGCTCTCCTTGAAAGAATCCGTCTTTGGGACTTTTATATTCTCTCTCCTGGACAATAGGTGGGCCGAGGTGAGGGACAGAAGATTGGGTGGAGAGCAGTGGGTAAGCTGTGAACATGCATGTGTGGCTAATTCGGCTTGATCACACACGGGATTGTACAGTCTCCTAGTGTGGGACACTCTGGCCCCTGGTCCTAAACTCATTGAATTTTCTACTGCCTTCAAGACAGATGCCACTTCTCTCTTCTCTGGGAAACATTCTCTTGCCATCTTGTGCACAATCACTCCTTCCTCAGAAAATCCGCCACTTACTCTTCTTATTGTCCATCTGTTACATGTATTTAATCATGTGAACTTTTAACATTTTAAACTTGGGGCTTACATCTTCGATGAAATTGTAAACTACTTGAGAGCAGTGCCCTGAATACTTCTTTGTATGCTTTTTTTGTGTGTGCGTGTGGTGAGGCAGGTTGGTTCTGAGCTAGCATCCATGACAGTCTTCCTCTATTTTGTATGTGGGATGCCACCACAGCATGGCTTGAGCGGTGTGCAGGTCCGCACCCAGGATCCAAACCCACAAACCCCGGGCCACCGAGGTGGAGTGAGCAAACTTAAGCACTATACCACCTGCCCAGCACCTGTATGCTTAAAAAAAAAAAAGAATCGATATTTATTGGGAGACTACTATTTGCTTGAATTGTTTGGGAACAAGACAAGGCCCCTGCCCTCCTGGATGCGTGGGAGACAAGGGTCAGCACACAAACAGATGGTTGGGGAATGTGGGATCAGGTACAAGTGCTGGGACGTGCTGCAAGTGCCGTGAAGACAGAGCAGACCGAGGCAGTGAAGAGTGACGGATGCCGCTCTTCTGGGATGAGTCATCAGAGCAGCCTCTGCTCTGGAGGAGCAGAACCAAGAGGAGAAGAGACCCTGAAGTTGGGAGCTGTCACTGGGTCTCTGCCCTTTTGGCTCTGTTCAAATGAGTGCCTACCCCTAATCCTACCCTTATTTGTTACCCACTGTTTTTCAGGCCACTGGGGTTATCATTTTGCTTATGATGCTGTTTTACTAGAATACTCTTGTGGCTGATGGGCTGCCATGCTCTTCACTGGGGGAGCAGAGGTTCCGCAGTCAAGTAGCTGACTGTGGAGTGAGCCCAGGTCAGAGCTGCTGTGGGGGCCCCTCCTCCTCCTACCAGGCAGGCAGGAGGCCCACAGACCAGGGAGGGGGCAGGGCCTCAGGCTCACTGCATGGTTTTTAGCTCCTTTCAGCTTCCCTGAAAGTGTTTTCAGGGTAAACATGGTTGCTTATAGGGCTCAAGACATTTGGAAAAGAAATGCTACTGAGAGTGGAGTAAGCGCTCAAAGGAGCATTGTCAGAGTTAGAAAGGCAATCTCTAAATCTAGCCCAGAGGGTTTATAAACAGCAGGCACTTTGTTAGTTCCCTTTGAATAACTGGCCCTCCTGAGACCTGGGCTGGCGTGCCAATAGGTATGCAGAGAGAGGGCAAAGAAATGAGATTGTAGCCACAGAGGTCTATAAAATTTGGGGATAATGTGTTACATTTTTACCAAAGTACTTTCAGCCAATTCATTCAGCAAACATTTACGTGCAATGCTAGCAGGGAGGTGCAGTGGAGTCAAAGATAAATAAAACATAGCAGCTGTTTTTTAAAGCAGCTCGCATTCTGGCAGGAGAGAGAGAGAAACATAAATAATTGTGAAAGACTGTGGCTAGGGTTATAACGGGGTGTGTACAAAGTGTTAGCGGAGGGCAGAGGGCAGTCCTGAAAGCTTTCCAGAGAAGGTGTAAACTGACTGCAAGTCTAGGAGGGCATACAGGAATTCCTTTTTTGGACAAGGTGGGGTGTGGGAGGAAGGGAATGCTTTCAAGACAAGGAAGTGACAAGTGCAAGGTTGTGAGGCATGCAGGGGGCACAAAGGAGCAAGGCTTGTGGCACCAGAGTGGCCAGAGCACAGGGTAAATGTTAGGGAGGAAATATTGTTTCAGTTTGTGATGTAAATGGTCATTTGTCAAATCAGGATATTTGGGCTTAATTCTCTAGGCAATAGAGAGCTATCCAAGTTTCTTAAACATGGTCAGATAAATTGTATTTGAGAAAGATGATGGGGTGGGGGCTGGAGAAGTGTGGAGAAGGAAACAGCTGGAAAACCAGCCTGGGAGCTCACATTCCAGTGCAGGAATGTAGTTTATAAGGCGTTAAACTAGAAAAGGTCCATGGGATAGGACAAGAGGGCACCTATGTGAAAAACATCACCAAGGTGGGATTAACAATATTTGGCAACTCTAATGGGGGTGAGGAGGTGGGGGGGGGGTCCCTAAGGTAATGCTAAGGTTTTTAGATTGGAAAGCTGAATGGGTAGTTTTTTCTAATAATAACGGAGAATATTGGAGGAGGATCTGGCTTGGAGGGAAGAGGGAAGGAAAGAGGGAGAGAAGAGGAGGGCTTGGGTTTGCGGCATGTTGTCTTTTAGGTGCCCATGGGTGGGCCCTCCAGGTGGAGAAGGCCCTGGAAGCTGGAAACAAGGGTTGGGAGTTCAGAAGTGAATTTAAAGGTCCCGCTGTAGACCTGAGTGTTTTCTTCTTCCCTGACACCTATGACCACACAGACATGAGGAGACTGCCAGAGGGTGGGAACTTGCAATTCACTAACTTGGGATTGTTTCTGCAGGCTCTTTTTTTTTTTTTTTTGGTGAGGAAGATTCGCCCTGAGCTAACATCTATGCCAGTCTTCCTCCATTTTATGTGGGATGCCACCACGGCATGGCTTGATGAGTGGTGCTGGGTCTGTGCCCTGGATCTGAACCTGTGAGCCCCGGGCTGCTGAAGCAGAGTGTGCAAACTTCACCACTGACCCATCAGGTCAGCCCCAAGCAGGCTCTTCTTTTTGAGTGGGTTTTATATTATAAAACATTTGTTTTTTTAAATTACTATTATTTTATGAATAGGTGATGCCTGTACATGATTTCGAATTCAAAGTTTATGAAAGGGTACACCGTGAACAGTGACTTCCTTTCCCTCGTCTGCTCCCTGACAGCCACTTCTTCCCCAGAGGTGACCACTGATACCAGTTTCCATTGCATCCTTCCAGAAATACGTTATGCAGACAAAATTCTCTGTAAAGATCCTTTAATCCTCAAGTATTGCAAAATCCTAAGTGATGCACGCTCAGTGAGCCAAGGAGTTGAAAGATCTCTTGGACTCTCAAGGTCTCATAGTACTGCTCTTTTATTCAGAGAATAGCTTGGAGTAGCATGGGGACAGGACCCATGGGCAGTGAAGAGCTGCAAACATGGGTTGAGGGCAGGGCTAAATTTATAAGCCATAGGTATGTGAGTTATTTCTTTACAAGACAAAAGAAAGATTATGTAGAAAAGTCATTAAAATGGTATCAGTGCAGGTCGGGTCTGGCTATTGGGTGGTCCTATAACTTTGGGTAAGAATCAGATCAGATCAGGTCAGGACGTCCAATACTTCCCAGAGGATGATATAGATCAGTATGTAGGGCAGGACATCTTGAGCTTTTCTCCCTGGAGCAGCTTTGATCCTTGTCATAAAATCCCCCCTGAACCCATTTGGCCCCCAAATCCTTTGGGGACATGGACGATGGTCAATCTTCTGTAACTACTTCCAGCTGTACAAGGTTGTAGAGCTGTCCCTAATGGGGCCATACGGGTATAGGCAGGAAGTTAGTGAACTGGAAAGTTATGCCTGTGGAGTCCAAGGCTGACAAAGTATACAGAGAAGGAGATCATTTGATGAGAAGTGGTCCAGGAGCTGAAACTTTGTTTACATGTGAAAGAGAAACAATGAAATAGACAACAAATTATGCTAAGAAATACAAACAATATGATTGACCCAATGAATAAGACTTTGATAGTAGTCCAGAGACCTGGTCCTGACCAGGAGTCCAACTAATCATTTAGGGATAGGGTGGGGTCAGACATGGGTTTAATTTGGTGGCTCATATCAGATAGGAAGCCAGAGATATTTTCATGGTAGTCAGGAATATAGACACAATGTTCGGTTTTTATAATGGCACAAGTGCCTCCCTGTGCTGCTGTCAAGACATCCAGTGCCATTCAGTTTTGGAGGACTGCCTTACACATTTGGAATACTTCTAAATCAAGCAGTGAAAGGCTATGTTATGTATTGTTTAATGCCTTCGTGGTAAATTTGTTTAGGGCTTCCATGTGCAAGATCATACTTTCGATCCCTAAATGGGGAAGGAAA